CCCCAAAACCCCAAAACCCCAAAACCCCAAAACCCCATGCTTAATAGATTTAATAATCAGAATAGTTTCATAAATGAAATGTTTTTGTATTAATACGATATTATATTTATTCTGTTTACTAGCTCATAAACTTGAGGGTTTAATGTATCTATCATCTTCTTCTTCATCCATATCTTCTTGATTATTGCTCTTTTTATGGCCTTTAAACCCTTTTCTATGATTTAGACTGCTTTCATTAATGCCATCAAGCACAAAGTCATCGTCTAGATCATCTCCTATTTGATTAAATTAGTTTGCAGCCTCATTTTAAAAGAAGCCCTTCTTAGACTTAGAGGTAGGTAGACCACCATGCGGCGATAGTTTCATAAATGGATCTGCTAGTGGGTAGCCTACAGTTTGTCTTTAAAAGTTCAAAGGTGTCTTATTTGGTGGCATGTTGTTTCTAGTAGAATTGACTCTGCTTGAGTTGTTGCTGAACATTTAGTTGAATCTGATTGCGCCTTCACTATCATTCTGCTCTTCTTCATTCTTAATAAACAAGTCTTTTTTAAGCATTTACTTGAACCCACCTGGGCCTTTGTTTTTATTGGACTTAGGATCTTCAATAATTGATTTATTCTAAATATTGATTATTTAGTCAATGATCTCGTCCTCTACCTATGTTGATTCGCCTACATAGGAATTTTCAGTATCATCAAGCTTCAACTATGACAATTTCTTCGGGGTCGTACTTTACTACTGCTGCTATTATTGTTTTTAAAATTTAGCTCTAGGACTTACATTATTGCTAAATCTTCTGATCTAATTTTGTTGAAACTCTTCAGCAAGAATTTAATGAGTGTCATCCAACAGTTCATCTAAAATCTCTGTGAACATATTAGAGACGCCGTAGTTCAAATCTTTGGAATGAATGGGGTTTTATTCCATTTTCTTAAATTTATAGCCCTAGAATATGTAGCCGAGGAATCTCTCATGAGCTTCTTTTAAGCATCTTAAGTAGTTCTGGAACATTTCATCATCCTAATTAAGATATTAAATTTTCCTGAGCGAGAGCTAGCTATCCAATCCAGTATCGATTTCAAAAAGCTTAAATACTTCCTATCTGATTTGCTCAACATCTAAATCTTTGACGCAATCCTTTATCTCGTTCTCTCCCAAATACCCTATTTCCTTCTTTTGCAGAGGTTTTAACTTCTGATAAAGTTTGTATCTGATTACAGCATATATCTTGTAACCAATCTGTTTGTAGCTCTCAAGATCTAGTTTCTAATCCTCAAGCACTACTTAGAGCTAGGGATCAATACCATTTAGAGCCTTCTCAATTGCTTCTGTTATTTCTATATCTATTTACTATACCTAGGGGAATATCTTCAGTTTGTCTAACTTTGCATTAAATTCATCTTCATTTTTACAGCTGACTAGAGACCCGAATTCTAATAATACCTCCTGTTTCACTTTATTGATAGTCTTCATTATCTGAACCTTTGTCTTTTCTATTATAGTTTATTTCTTCTTTGCTTGAGCCTTTCTAGCAATCTAAAGAATCTTTGGTAACAGTGTAATAATCTCCAGTTTGTACTGCTCTAGTATAATGCACATAGAGTGGATCTCCTGCTTTAAAATCAATGAACTTATTGATTCTGTTCTCTGCTTCTCCTCTTCCTGCTGATCTTATTTTTCATCTTATTCTGTATCTTACTCAGTGTAGTCACTGTTTCTATCCAAACGACGACGCTATTTCCTGCGTAAGGTTTTATCTGTTACAGACGGGGCTCTTGCATATTAAGAAGAATTCGAGGAACAACACCCAAACATCCAAGATAAACTCATTTTAACTTTATATATTTATTTTAATCAGTGTATAACAATTTTTAAATCTTTATAAATTCAAACTTCTATTATTACTTGCATTAAGGGGTTTTGGGGTTTTGGGGAGATCGGAAGAGCACACGTCTGAAC